GATTTAAATAAAAAATTTGTATAGAGCGCTATCTATGAAACAATAGGGGAATCTGTGTGTCACCGTCAAATGTTAAATTTTTGTATTTTATAAACACAATTATAAAGGTTATAAATCGAAATGTATTTCTTGAAAATTGACAGTTTTTTAAGTTATAGTTTACTGCCGGCGAAATTAAAAGGTCAGTACAATGTCCATATAAACTTTTCAAATATTGGCGTTGAGAAACTATTGAATACTTTTGTATTTTTGTATTGAGATAATAAAATTATTTTCACATTTAGTATTATTTTACAAGAAAGGCAATTTATTTTAACGATTGTATGACATTTGACAACTGTCAACCAACCTAAAAACTTCATCCCTTGACTAAACACCTGTTGCTAACTTCAGCCCGTGACTAAATCGCCATAAAGCCACAACTTGTCAATGTGTATTTAAAAGGTCACTTAGTGTCATGGAAACATGTACGATAAATGGCGTTTTAAAGGTTGGAGTAGAAAAAATTTTATACTCCAAGCTCTTTTGAGTGTTTTATTAAATTAAATTAGTATATTGTGCGACTAGTGGGAAAAAGAGGAGATTCTTCAAGCGTGAAGTTTGCTGCACAAGTGTGGCGAGTGCAGTAACACGCGAGTGGAATCTTCTCTTTTGACCGATAGTTGCACACAATATTTTATTCTAACACTACCACAAGGAATTTAAAGCCAATTATATTTAATATTTTATCTGAAATCTGACAGCTGTCAACGCAACTTTCACCTCACTTTTATTACAATTTTAACTTAAAGTTAAAGCAAAAAAGCTATTTTACCCACTAGTGGGCGAAGTTAAGAAATAAAATGGGTGTTGAATAATAGTATATATATAATATACGAGAAATAATGCTCTTTTTCTACACAAACCATATGGTTTTTCTACTCCAAATAAAATATTTTTATTAATAATAAAATGTATTATAACCTCACTTTCTTCTGAATTTAAAGATCATTATAGTCGCCTCTCGTATATATTAAAAATCTGACATCTGTTAGAAAGTTACAACCTTACTTTTCCCAATTTAAAACCAGATTCGTTTAAACCACAGTAATTATTGAAATCGGCCAATCACTGATGCCTAACAACATGAATAATGAGTTCATTATTCACGTCGTCAGGCGTTTGCCATTATATAAGAAAAACTCAAAATAATGTGCAATAGGAGTAGAAAAAATAATGTTATGCAGCTCAGAATATTTAATTAAAATATTTTTTAAATAAAGATGAAACAATTTTACATACATATTGGAATAATTAAAGTTTGGAATAAAAAAACCCAATTGGATAAATTTTTTTGGGTAAACATTGTCTACATTCGCCACTGGTAAATTTAACGATTTTGGACCAATCATGGGTAAATTTTTAAGGCAAGCAAGGATCCAAATCCTATAGAGCACGATCAAACCTATTTTAATGCTAAATAATACTGCCGATTGTATAAAGAACATCTACATACCAAATAAACAAAAATAAGGTAGATCTAAGGAAACTCGATGTTATTCGCGCCTCTGTGTTTAAAATTTAAACTTTAAATACAGTATATAGGTTTTTGAACAGGTTTTTATAAGGATCTCACGCCGCGGCTTCCGTTAAAACGTATCTACAGTTTCGCTAGCAAGCAATTAAACTTAAACCTGCACTTTTTTCATCAGAATAGCAATAAAGTATACAATTATAATTATTCATAAAATGCGTGTACCTACAACGATAATTCAGAAAATCCTTTTTTTATAACTACCTAGTGTTGTTTACTTAAAACAATATGATTTAACTTAACTTAATCAAGTTCTTTCGTTAAGCTTCAAAAACAAATTGTTCCCTGGAGATCCCACTACCAGATAAAGTGATTATAAGACGAACCCTATAACAGTTTTAGGTAGTACGTAGTTTTTGTTACTGATTGTTAGTTGAAAAAAAATATAGTTTGGTGAAAGTACACGGAGAAAATGAAACAGTAATGAGCAGAACAGTAATCCATTTAATTTTAATTTAAAATAAATATTAATGTGCAGAATATTGATGACTACAGTTCGTGACACTATAGTTAATTTTGTAACATCAATGAGTATACTCAACTATACAACTATTGCTGTTGTCAAATTAACCCGTGATGTTTTATTAGAAATTTTACGTTTTTAAATAGTACACTCATACTGCCATAATATATTAAGAGGATTAGTTATCTGCGCATCAATGGTTAGTGCTCTGTGATCAATAGTTACTGTTTTATTTTCTGTGTACTCGTAAATTAATCTAAATATTTCCAATATTCTATTATTACAAAAATGTTTTTGATGGTAAAATTTGAAAATTTGGTTCAATTCTGTTAAAAAAAATAAGAATTTAATTGAAATAGGTAAAATTACACTAGTTTAGGTAGTAATATGTAAACATTAGGTCAATTTCTCTAGAAAATGAAAATTTCAGGCTCAAATGAAATAATTTTTCTTCAAAACGGATATTAGTACATTGCACGGTGACATAAAGTTATGATTAACGTAGACCAATAGGTAATACCACTAAAAAATTATTAATTGAAAATGTCAAAACATATTTTTTCTCAATCATCTGTTCTTTTCAAAATTTGCAAACATTCAAATTCCTATATTTTATTAAATTATGTTTTTTAACCAAGAATTACTGTTAATAAAGCTGTGGGTCCTAATTAAACTAAAAAAAACTAACGTGTATGAATTTATTCTTTTGGGCAATTAGGTAAACGAAGATAGTAAAAAATAAATGCTTATTTGTGCATTGTATTTTTTTAAAACAATAATGTTTGGCATTTTTGTTGATTTTGTAAAACATTTTATTTTTTTTTGTTTTGAAACTCAGATAAATATACTTAGTTGTACATGCGCCAGGCCAATTTTAACACGTTGAAATCGGACAAAAATTGTTGGTGTAATAGGTTTTGGCTAAAGCATTGTTTTTATCTATAAAAAAGGATTTAAAAAATTAATATATATCCTATATCCTAGGTATATAAAAAAATAGCTGTTTTTTTTTGGTAATATCGCAAAAACAATAGCAGAATAGTGATACAGCGTACCCTACAAAATTGTTTTTTTTTCCTGTTTTTATCACTTTAATTAAAGTTAATTAACTTTAAGGTACTGCGCGTCAAAATAACTCATAACAAGTAAAAAAAATCCAACTCTAACACGCCTTTACCAATCTTAATAAAATTTTGGATAAAAATACTTTAACTTATATCTCAATTTACGTGTTCAAGGGTTTTTCGAGAAAATATCCTTAAAGCCCTTTTATTTAATAACAAAAAACGCTCAAAAAAAAAAACTTTTAAAGGAAAATTTTTTTAAGTAAATAAAAAATATCCTGTGGAAGACCGTATTTTTGTTAGTAAACCCTAAAAATGTTGTACAAATTAAATTAACAGTAACAAAAATACAGCGCTTCAAAGTCGTCAAAAATGACAATTTTTCAGCAAAATAATCAAAAAGGGGTAATTTTTACCGACTTTGAAGCGCTGTATCTTTGCTACTGTTCGTTTGATTTGTACAAAATTTTTAGGGTATACTAACAAAAATACGGTCTTTAACACTTTTTTTTAATTTACTTAAAAAAAATTCTGTAGAAGTTATTTTTAGAACGTTTTTTATTATTATTTAATTAAAGGGCTTTAAAAATATTTTTTTGAAAAACCCTCGAACACGTAAACTGAGATATAAGTTAAAGTATTTTTATACAACCTTTCATAAAGATTGGTAAAGGCGTTTTAGAGTTAAATTTTTTTTACTTATGCGTTAATTTTGACGGGCAGTGTATATGTCTACAGGTATTATCGATAAATTAAACTAATCTCTATTTTTTATAATTTTAGCGGCTTAATAAAGATTGATCAAATAAAAAAATTATTTATATCTATTTTTTTAAATACTGGGTATAGCGTCATAAAGATGTTAATGGAAATTATATCTACTCAAAATCGATTTACGAATTTTTAAGCCATTGTTTTTAACCTCTTAAAACATTGGAATTATTATATTATATATACTGTTAATATTTTTGAGTTTGAATTAATTTTATATACACGTATTAAAAGTGTAATAGACTAAAATAAATATTTTAACCATATTGCTTTAAATTTTGTGTATAAAAAGTGAGTGTACAATTTAAGATATAACTTGGTACCTTTACTATAGCCATGCTAAGAATAAATTTAGGTTACAAGGGATAAAAATCAATTTATACTGATTTAACAATTTTAATATTATTTGGTGTCATTTAAAACATATACTATAAGGCAGTAGTATCATAAAGACAGTAGTATACTATTAACACGAAAATGCCCGTACAACGCCCCAACATATAATTTTTTGCTTGTAAACCTTAATAAGTTGCAATTTAGGTAGCTATGTTAAGTTAATTGAGAACTTGCGAATTTTTACACTTTTAGTAGTAGGTACCCATACTTTGTGTGAAAAAACTATTTTTTTGATATAATATATCAAAAAAAGAATTTGAGAGTAATTTGTAATATATTATATTACAAATCACTCTCAAATTATTGCTACAAAATCAAAATAACCTGGAGACCCCAATAGCGATTAGACAACAAACCCGATATTACGGAAACCATTATTTTGAATTTGGAAGGGGTTTGAAAAGAGGGTGAATATTATACCCTTACGCCATCTATATGGAACACCCCAAACTTTTCCTTTAATAGGGGAGTAATAACCTTGGGGTTTATGTTTGGGGTGTTTTTACAAACAGGTGGCAAACAACTTTTACCAATTTGAATAATTGACTTTAGTATGGTGGTATTTATATTTATAACACTTGTTAACAGGAAGGTATTTTTGGAGGATTTTTTTAATGTAATAATAAAATGAAATTGTTTTATTTATTTATTTATTTCTCAAAGAACACACATTATACTACCTATAGGTATTACAAAAACTTAATACTAATTAAAAGCTAATGAAAGACACAAGGGGTATTTTGATTTAAAAATATACAAAAACACAAAAATACGATGCTAAAAACTAACTTAAAACTAATTTAAATTTTTTATAAAAATAACATGTAGAAATCATATGATCAGCTGATATCACAAAAATTTACAAAATCATTATCAAAATATCTAACACAATCACATAGCTTCATGAGCACTTTTTTATAAAAAAAATCTACTTCGAGAAAGCTATTTTTTAAAACTAAAAAGTGCAATATATCATCCATGTGCAAACTTAACTAAGCAAAAAAATTAAAATTTTTACTTAAGCATTTCAAAAATTATAAAAAATTAAAGCTAAATACATGCACTTTATACATAAAATTGACACATTGTCGGCCTATAATTACCCTGACCTGTCAATTTGACAGGTCGAGAGTGTGCTCCTAACTAATAAAGCACTAAATTATACTAAAGAAAGTAAAGCTCCAAAAAATCACAGGCAAAATTAAAGCTATAAGTATAACTTAAGCCAGTGGGCTTAGGTTATACTTGCAACATTCTAAAAATGACATTATGGTTAAATTTAAATTATAAAATAAAGCAATTAATTTTAAAGCTTGAGCAAATAAAAGTGTTCGTGTGTAATATACATTTATACATTTTAAAGCTTTTCACGTCAAAATGATTTGACCGTATATAGAGATTTGTATCACAAAGTTTATATCACAAAACTATCCCCCATAGTTCAATGTATTTTTAAATTTATCTCACGAAGTATAAAATAATATCACAGGCTATAAAAATGCATTGAAATATGTTGGATTGTTACCTAAATCTAAATAATATAATTTTGATTGCACGAAATATTGCGATTTTGTGGTACCCTAATGGTATTCTCTAAACATTGCACGAATTTTGAATAACTCTAGAAGATTGCACTTGGCTGCTTAAGTAAAAATAGTTTATGTACAAACACAAAAAATTAAACTAACCTAAAAGTTAAAACTAAAATTACTTATTACCTAATTCCATTAATTCATTAATGATATTATCGGTTATTTCATTTTCACTTGATGATACTCTACTGGAAAGTAGGTGTGATATGTCAATGTCTAACATAGATGGCTTTGAAGTGGCTTCAAATTTCGACCAATAGGAGTTGAGGTTGACTCTTGCACTTGTTATTATCTTGCGAGATAGGCGAGGCTTTATAGGCTGGAAAGAAAAAATAAATTTAGTTTTTGTTCACCCTATTCAACAATGTTTGTTTGTTTAAAATATGCAAGTTGTTTACAAATAATAAACAATGTGTAATGTTTTTGACACTTACCTCTCTTAAAGTGCGTCTCCATGGTGATCTAGGCGATCTAGTAGGCATATTTTTGACAGTTATATCGTTGACGAGACACATGTTGGTCAGCTGATTTTCAAACGTCAAAAACAGGTTTTACTTGCGCGTTGCTTACGTGTTATTCGTAGAAGCGCTGAGGACGAAGTGTGCTTAGCTCGTGAACGCTCCGGCGTTTTATACGGATGAAAAAGGCGCATGTTTCTTGATATCGCGCGCCAACCACGTGCAGGGCGTACGCGATGCTCGTTTTTTTCCTTCTTTTGCTTACCTGTTGCCATGGTTATCCTCCTACTCTATCACTTGTTGCCGTCCCATGCGCACTTGTTGCTTTTTGTATAGGGGTGGCTCTGTTTATCTGGTGGATACAAAGTTTGTAACGAACTTTTTCGATTTTTTTTTTAACTTGTTTTGTTGAAGTGTTTGGGTTTTTATTGCCGCGTTTTCGATCTGTGGGATTTTCGGTTGGAGTCGCTAGGATTTAAATTATGTGTTTGTAATGGGTTTTTTTGTTTCGTTTTTTTTTATGTGGATTTACATAGAAACATAGTTTAGGCAGTAAGCATTTAAGCATGATTAAAATTTAATTATAATTATAATTTTATTTTAGTAAATAAATCGGAAAATATACCTTTGTTAAAAAAACCTGTCTTATAAGCCAGGAGTAGTAAATTATGCACGAGCGTATTTTGCAAAATTTAAAGTCAATTTTATTTGACTTTTTAAATGATTTATTTTATACTATTCATTTATTTTTTAAATTTTAGTCTTGTAATAATTATAGTACAATTATAAAAAGCATTAGTTTGTTTTAAAATTATTATTAGGTTGAAAATATCTGTCATCTGTCATCTGTCAACTTGTCTCCTGTAAAAGTGTTGCTTGATATTTTGTTCGGTCTTCCTGTTTATAATAATTTTAGGTTGACAAATGAAAATTTTGTTTTTATAATATTTTATTTTATTTATTAATTTATATTACACTATGTTATAGCTAGCAAAACAGTTCTTAAGAATTAGTACGGCTAAGTCTATATTAATTTATATTAATTGTTCTATTTTTTCATTCCATTTTATAATCCTTTACCTATAAATTACAATATTACATATGTAGGTATTTATGAAGTATACTATGTATTGTCATGAAGATCCGAGCAATGATTTAAGTTTTAATCTTCAGGTCATCGGGAAGTCCGTTTAATAGTATATTATGTATCAAGTTTATAAACGAGGTGCATACTATACTTTTTCTACGACAAATACTTATTATTAACTTAAAATGATTTAAATCAAAAATTTGTATAGAGCGCCATCTATGAAACAACAGGGGAAACTGTCAAATGTCACATTTTTACATTTTATAAACACAATTATAAAGGTTATAAATCGAAATGTATCTTGAAAATTGACAGTTTTTTACAGTGAAAGTAAAGGAAATGTTTTATGAGGACTTTACAGTAGAGTCCGTGCCCGAATTTAAGTTATAGTTTACTGCCGGCGAAATTAAAAGGTCAGTACAATGTTCATATAAACTTTTCAAATATTGGCGTTGAGAAACTATTTAATATTTTTGTATTTTTGTATTTTTGTATTGAGATAATAAAATAATTTGCACATTTAGTATTATTTTACAAGAAAGGCACTTTATTTTAACGATTGTATGACATTTGACAACTGTCAACTAACTTAAAACTAACTTCAGCCCGTGACTAAAGCGCCGTAAAGCCACAACTTGTCAATGTGTATTTAAAAGATCACTTAGTGTCATGGAAACATGTAAAGGTGCGAGTAGAAAAAATCAATTACAATATTTATACAAACTCTTAAGCGAGATAATAAAAACGTCTTACAATATGGAGTATACTGTGTAGTTGTTTTGACATCCAGTTCTGAGGTATGTTTAAAGTTTCTAGCTTCTCGTAAAGTTACTTTAAATCGATTACTAAATGTATACAAAAAACTCTCAAGAAAGCGAATTAATAAAAACATCTTAATAAAATACATATTTTTTTCTTAAAAATCTTATTTTAAAAATATATATTCTATCGTATATATTTTTTATTTTACAATTCTAATCCACTATTATTTATGTTGCCATTTATGCAGGACTTAATATTGGGTCAACTACATTTTGGTACCTTTCGACAGTGATTACTAATCACTGATTAGTGATTCACGTTCAGTATGGTATTACGTCGTGATTTGTACAGATGTGTCTTGTAGAACGTTTTTGTTACGATTATAATCCATGCGTGAACCTTAAATAAATTTAATGTTTCAGAGCTGGTCAAGCTTTTTTATAAACAAAATAATTATCATATATTTAAATTTATAATAGTTTTGGTTTATAATCTATGGTAGTCCAGATTACGAAAAAGTTTTAATGGGGTGTTATAATTTGGAGGAAGAACCAGCCATCAAGAATAGTGATGATAATGAAGATAAAGATACAATTATAGCTAATGAAGACATGTATTTTGAATATTTGCTATCAGAGTAGTTAGATTTAGAGCAATCGCGATTAGAAGAAGTTGTATATTCAGATTCAAAACTCATGTTAGTAAATTGGCCTGATTATTTTCATTTTATATGTAAATATTCTTTCATGTCAATTAGAACCAAAAATCTTATTGAATTAATACTAAATTTTGTAAAAAATACACAGTATAACAATATTTTTCAATGTATCAAAAAATCCATATTTATCTTTTTATTTATTATTATTTATTTTTTGTTACCTTTTATGAATTGATTATCTACTCATTAATTCCTTTATTTTGTTTATTTTCTTTTTTCTCATTTTTTGTTTATTTTTCTTAACAACATTTATTTAATGATTCTTGTATTTTCTTTTGATTTCTTTAATATTCTTCACTTTGTAAATTTAATCAGATTTTGCATTTAACATAAAATATTTATTCGTAACTCAATCGTTTTTTATTGCATAAGTCGTTTAATTTTCATCTTCGTTACAACAGTGATATTCAATTATTTTTATCATATAAATCGAGCCATTTATTCAATTCATTTAAATTGCCGGCCGGAAAAAGTTTCATTATTTTATGCGTGCGTATAACTTACGTCAATTAAAAAATAAAAATTCAAGCAATCGACTGCACTTCAATCAGATAAAAGGCATAAATAAAAATGTCGCTTTCATATGTATTTTTTTAATCTCCTCTATCTTTAAATACTTTTTAGTTTGATAACTTTGGAGAAAAATAATTTTTAGAGGGATAGAGATTTATATTATTTTTAGTAATAGTTTTTATTTAAATATATCTTTAATAATCCTATATTAAATATACAAATATTATTTAATAACATAACATAAAAATACATTATTTTAAATTGTTCCTAAAAGAAATGTTATTGGACCCACACTGCAATACCAGTAGCCACAGAATTTTAAGTGGTCAAACATCAAATAAAAAATGAATAATAACCTTACCTTTATCTTTGTCAGACTTCTTGTCTAAAAAGAGACAGTTCTGTTCCTTAAATATATGAACTGGCTACATTTATACGTAGTAGGCTGTGTTTTAAAACAAGACAAAAAAACTTGCATTTTTATCCAACTTGCCATGGACATGTTAAAAGTTACTTTTTGGATTCTTTTACAAGGTGGAATTGTATAAACCATTGATTTTTGTAAATGAAAGTATTTGACTTTTAAAACGTTGTTTTTACTTTTAAACTGGTTAAAAAAATGTACGAATTTTATATTGGATCAACGGTTTATGAATAAAAGGTTCGCCAAAAACAGTTTTAGGATTACCTGGATTCTACGGTTTTTCTTTTCGTATACAGGTAAACATATTAACTGTTAAAATAGCGGGAATGTGTTTGGTTAAGTAATAATATGATACAAACAAGAATTAAATTTGATTTTCTCATATTAAATTAGTTGTCAAGGATTGCCATATAAAAGTACATATAAAAATCAAAATAGCGGTATAAGTTATATTTTTTATACAAATCTGAACTACTTTTAATGACATAAATAAAAAAATTAAAAAAAAAAATTGAGATTATTGTTTTGCAGTGTAAAATTTCTAAAAACTGGATAATTTCTTTAAATCTTGAACTATTTATCGGTATTGCCAAATTGTTATATATAAAATCTGATATACGAGGTGTGTTCAGAAAATAACGGGAATTGTTAAATTTTGCGGGTTCGGAGGTTCCGGTTGTCATAAAATTTTCTTTATTATGTTGGTATACATGCCCCCGAAGTATAATAAAAACTTTAGCGGTTTTCATTGTTTACTTTGTCTGTGGCAGCCGCTAAGGTCTAGTTTTATGAGCTCGGCGATTTTTCGTTCGTTAAAAGAAATGGATCAATGGATTGTATCCAATTTTGCTTCAAAAATGAAATAAATTATGTGAAATGGAAAAGGCCTATAGTGAGTCTGCTATAAGTAAAACAAGAGTTTATAAGTTGAATAAGAGTTTCCAAGATGGCCGTGAAGACGTTGAAGATGACGCCCAAGCACATTAACAACCTATAAAAACATGTAAAAAGTGGAAGAAATGGTTATAAACTATCAGAGAAGTCGCTGATGATGTTGGTATATCGATTGGCTCATCCCATGACATTTTTTCGAATGTTTTGGGTATGAAACGCGTGGCAGCAAAATTTGTTCTAAAATTGTTAAATTTTGAACAAAATTTTTGGCCAAAAACAATACTGTAATGATGCCCCAGCCTCTATATTCGCCAGACATGCCTCTGTCTGACTTTTTCCTATTCCCAAAAATAAAGAGAACCTTAAAGGGCCGTCGTTTTGCAAGCATAGATGACATTAAAAGCGCATCGCTGAAAGAACTAAAGGCTATCCCAAAGATCGAGTTTAGAAGTGTTTCGAGTATTGGAAGAAGAGCTGGCACATGTGCCATATCAAATGGGGACTATTTTGAAGACGACAACATTAATGTAGACGAATAAATAAATATTTGTTTCAAAAAACGAAAATTCCCGATATTTTCTGAACACACCTCGTATATGTATTTGCGAAAGTGTGTTGTTGTTTTTGTTTGTTTTCCTTCAAGCAAGCAACGGTGCAACGAATCAACGTGATTTTTTGCATCGACATAGTACCTATATGGGCCGGAGAGTAACAAGTAGTTCTTTTT